ACTGTTGTCTGTTTAAGACTTCATTTACGTTTCATTCATATCTTGTATGAGTTTTTTTTTCAATGTTTATGACTCACTGTATTCATAAAATGAATTTCTGTTGTAGAGTACGATAACATTCATTTTTCACTTCATGTCGTCACTGGCAAGTGCACCGAGAAATGCTGCAACTCAACGAATCATTGAAATGTTACCATATGATCTGGTAGGTTTTGTTTGATATTGTTCCATTGTATTTTTATTATTCATTACTTGATGGTGGATTTTGTGTGGAAGATTATCATTAAGTGTTTTTTTTTCGTTTGTATGACTGGATAATCATTCATATTTTTAACGTTTAGATCATCAATTTGGCACGGCTCGACCCGCAGACGTTTAACTTGGATCTGTATATGCCGTTAATTGATCTGACGAACATTGCGAACACGAGACGTGCACTGCAGTTCACTTGTTTGTTGAGAAGACTGGGTGGGATTTGACGAATGTAAAGTGAGCAGAATGATTGAACATACATTTTTGTTGATATTTATTGTGAAGTAGTAATTTATTCGTTTTTTGTTTGTTATTCATTTGCTTGGTTGGAAATTTGATGTATGTTTGTATTGTATTTGTTTGTAGCATTTAATTTATCTTAAAATATTTTCTTTTTGGGGATTCGTTTATGGATTGATGTGTTTTTGATGTCAACATTATCGAAGATTTCAGTCGTTTGACAGCGTCATTGATTCGTGTAATGTGTTTTGATTTGACGTATTATTTCAGTGCAGATATGTTGTTTCGTATTTGTTTGATGTTGATGTTAACTGTCGATGTAAGATAGATTATGTGATAATTACTTCGAGAAATTTGTATTTGATCATCTCGTATCTCTGTGAACATTGTTGTAATTGTGCTATTGATCAATTCGATACAGGAATTGGAATAACTTTTTTGAATTGTATTCCTCGTACAATATCTTGTTTTGCTTATAATGCTCACGCAATAAAATCTTCCCTCAGAATTCATGGTGCTCTGATTACTGTGTTTCTCATTTGTTATATTAGTATCGTTGAGATAGAGCATTGATGAATAGAACTAGGGGCATTTTGGTGATGTGATTGATATTGTTTTGTGTGAATGTACAAGTTCAAATGCTTCCTATTCGAAGCAATTTATTTTGTATATTCATGCAAAACAATATTCTGTTCTCAGCATTGAAATAAACTTTGGAGATCGCATTCCTCAGTGGAGATATTTCTGCTTTATGTAATCATTTCATAGAGAATGAATAAAATTGAAAATGCCCCAGAAATAGTTCAAAATCTACCCTAGTTCAAAGTCACATTTGAGAAGCTCCATTTGGCGTCAGCTCGGAAAGTTAAGAGTAATCCGATTGTAATTGGTTCAGTTCACCGTGTTAGGGTTACGGTGGCCAATGACCATCGAGCGTTGACGGTAGGTGGGCGTGGTCTTAGCGGAGGCGGTAGGAGGGTGTGGTCTGAGCGGATACGGTAAGTGGGCGAGGTGACCCAGCAAATGTGGCCCAATTATGAGTAAGAGAACATTGTTTTGTGATTTCTTTTGTGATCAGCGCAATGGACATTTCGTTTATATGGACGTATACGATTTATTGAAGCACATAGAAATGTCATCGTGTTCTATTTCAAATAAAACAACTTCAAGTTGATTATTAATAGTTTTGTGAACATTCACAAATTTGCATCAAATTCACCCTTTGCTTACTACATTAATTCCAGTTTCGTTATCAAAGAACGGAAAATTCGTCACTAAATTGCGCAGTAAATTTTTCGATCGGTTACGAATTTTTTTGATCTTACTAATAAATCATTAGTACAAAATCAGTAATTACTTTGTCAGTGAGGTGACTGACTCATAGAACATTATCACAGCATAAGAAGACACTTACTTTCAAGATTTAAAAAAAAAGAGACAAAACACCAAATGTCATAGCAGATTGAGGTTAAAAATAGCAAGGAGATAGACAGACCCACTTGAAATGCCATTGAACCGTCGAGTTTATGGTTCATAACTCATCAAAATACTGTTTTGTGGTATCATTTCAAAGGTTCCATTTCAACATTAATTTCAGTAGGTGAATCTTTTTTATTTGGCGACGATTGTTGTTGTATTGCTTGTAATAATTGCTGCTCTTTCAGATTGCGTCGTTCCAGGATCGAACGTCGATAATTTGCTCGATACAACGCGAAAAACAGTAATACGACTGCTGTAGCAACTGCTGACATTATCTAAAATTGATCAGATCCATCAACTTAAGAGTTTGTGTTATCATATGAGGCTCTAGTCGAATTTTAGATCAGTTGCTATTCATCCCTGCTTTGTGCATCACATCCACTAAAGTCTCGCTTTCAAACTTGCCAAATTGAAGTTTAGATGGAACGATACAATTGAATATGTGGTTTTCAGTCATGAAACCGGGGAGTGTCGGGTAAGCAAACGATCATATACCATAACAGGGAATGTGTTATCGAACGGCACAATTGTTTTTGCCTCAGCTGTAGTGCACGTTTGAATTTGCATACGGTCGTACTGAAGGCGACGTGAGGTCGTTCGAACAATTTGCAAGAGCGCCACTGCAAATGCCTTAAAATGCGAATGTATTATTAAACGATTTTTAAAAAATCTTCTCTTGATGATGATGATAAAATAAAATATTCCTATAAATCAGTATTAATTACAAAGGATGGTTGTAGGGAACTGAAAGAATGTCTTTTGAGTGAGTTCTTGAGGAAAAATCTCATAGAGTTCACATTGAGCGTATTTTCGATCTGTGTTGAGCGAAAGCAGTTGTATATTCCGAGGTCTATTTGATATTGTCGATCAGAATGAAACGCTCAAAGCATTCTGCCCAGCAAGTGGAATTATTCAGTCGAGAACACCGTATTCGAGTGGGATAGAAATAAACCTGTCCAGATATAACCACCAAACCCATCGAAGTGGTCTGCGAGGCCGGAAACGTACATTCGGCGGCCAGTTCAAGTCCAACCGGATATGCAGCCAGTCCGGAAATTCCGAACATCGCAGCTGCGAACGCTAATAACCATTCCATATTTGGATGAAGCGTTGCCTGAAATGTTCCGGCAATTTACAAATGCCTTGCAATAATTCCATTCAGGCAATATTCTAGAATATCAAATCATTCAGCGACTGGTGAACCACGTAATAGTACACTGAAAGACAATATGATCATATAAGGATTGAGAAGTCAGAATCATTGCTCATTCTTGAAAATTGTATAATCTCAATGAGAAATCAATGCGCATCTAATGTTTTGATGTATCACATGGCATAATGTTCAGTTGAAGGAATTTCAAAACAACACCTGAAGAAACAGTAAGAAACTGAGGCCAGTGAATGCAACAGAGACCTTCATTATTTGCTCGAACCATCGTGTCCGTGCTGCTATTATTCCTGCAAGGTTGACGATGTTCGACTGCTTTCAAGCAAACCTTTTTTCTTCCAAAAATGTTTTAGAAATTATGTTTATAAATATTTAAATTTTTAGGTGATGTTACAGAAATTTTGTTTTCACATCAGATGTTTTTAGCAATCAACGTTCTGATCAACGACAAAGAAACTTATTCATTTTTGATCACCTGAAACCATCGCACCAACGATGCCCGATCCAATCATCAAGGCACCACAAAAACCGATAAAACGATTCGAGTAACCGGATGGACAGAGCAGTACGTGAATTATGGAGTAGACCGACGTGAACATAGCGTTACCACCGCCCATTGTGCTCAGCAACAGCAAATACGATCTGCTTGTGAAGCACTTTCTCAGTCCTGAACAGATTGCGTGAATGAACCAAACAGCAGTTCATCCGGTAATGAAACTTGAAGACCTTTGTCATAACTTCAATTAATAGTGAAAATAAGTGCGTGTCAACTTGTTGAAAGCTCTGAAAAGTTTCCTCCTCTCAAGAATGCTCTCTCAACCAACCGGCCCGAAATCCTATTTGAGCTTGAGCTGCACTGAAGCTTGGCGGTACTTTTGGTTGTGATTCTGAGAGTCCCACTGTAGCGGCAATACAAGCCAGCAGTGGTGGAACGAACAGTATTGCGTTCATTATTCTCACCTGTAAGATGCACGGACGAGCAATTGGTAGAGGTAATGACTGTCATTAGTGAAGGGAAGATAACTCTGATTCTAATGCTGCTGCATTAGTGATCGTGTCATATATGAAGATAGCTCTGAATTGTTGAATCTGAAAGAGATTCTGAAAGAATGATTAGCGATGTGAACACACATTATCGGCCTTTGTAACAATTAGTGGTGATAGGACGTTTGCGGTGAAAACGCCCAACGGATTCGACATGGTCTGGATAGTTGTGGCGATTGCACGCTCGTTGGTTGGAAACCAAGTGTTAGTGACCTGAGAGTAGAAAGTAAGATTAGCAATTCTTATATCTGAATGTTGACTTAGTTAGTGAATGGTAACTTAGTCAGTGATGTTTAAATGAAAGCTCAGGAGGGATATAATCTTGTAGATATTTTCAGATCTTTTCCGACGTATTGTGAAGATTGAAAACTGAGTGATGTTGGAAAATTTGGTTTGTTGGTAATCGTAAGTGATCAGTTTTCGAAAAGACCCGTCCCCAACAATATGTTTATTTTTATGATAGATCCGACTCATGAAGATAGGGTTTTTAGCTAGCACGCAGGAGAGTTTTAAATGGATGTTCAATAGTACTGTCAGTTTGGGATGAAATGATCTAGGGCATGTTTGTCTGATCTTACAGCTGATAAACTGATTTCTGCATGAAAAGGATTCTTCTGTAATTTTTGTAGCATTCGACGAAATAATTGAAGAATGAAACACCTTGGTTGGTAGAAACATAATGAAAGGATATGCCCATGCTGCAAGCACCTGTCCGAGTAAACCGCACTTGAACCGGATTGATTCACCCAGGAATGAACTGAAATTAAGAGGTGATCAATCGCGAATTGGTTCCAAATCAACAGCCGACCAATCATTCAACAACTGTCCTGTAAAGGTTCAGAAAAATGATGAATAGTTTGAACTTGTTTGAATATCAGTGATTTTACACTATTTCAGCAAGTGGACGGTTAATTCGTTCTTAATTTTCCGTTAAGATCGTGGTCACTCTGTGATCGACTAGAGATCGATTTTGACTGAGCGATAAGATATGACTCCATATTCAGATTCATTAATGTTTGTCTTCTGATACGACCTCAGGAATCGGAGAGTAGCACCGGTAAGATTGGTCCATGCAGCGATCATGAGCGACCCCTTCAATCCAATACGACGATCCATTGACATGGCGACGGCACCCGCTGGCACTGTGAATATCAAATAAACAAGCGCGAACCACGACGCCTGCAAATACTTCCCAGAATAGTGTTGCTTAGAAGTTGTCTCACCAATGTAATAGTCTGAAGGAGCACTTAGAATTATTCTACGTATCATTGATACTCAAACTTTGTGCGGTATTCTGATCGCTTAGTATGTTGATCTCAAGATAATTTGTCCCTTTGGATTCAACATTCATTAAATCCTCTGCGCCGAATATTCAGTGATACATGAATTTCTCTGAATGCATGTTCTCAAATAGATATCGCTGTGATTTCGAATCAAAATTTGGTGAAGTATCGAAGTGTGAATCTACTGACGTTGGCTTTATAGAATACAGTCGCGTGATTATCAACAGCTGCGAATGCAATCCAAAGCATCGAATTTGAACTCGCCAATATTGCGACTACTGCAACGATTATCCATCGACGTCGGTAGACTCTAAAATTGATATGGTTACATTCGTGGATATCACATTTTTATTCGTTCAGTGTCCTCAATTCGTAACTCTTCATCCAGAAGCATTCAGATATCTGGTTTCTGACATGGGCACTGTTAAAGTATTGATCGACACTTGAGCGAAATATACTAATTGACTTCAGTAACAGTTCATAAGAATTGTGTGAGATACTGATATTGCTACCGTCCAACTTCACCAACTGCGAAATGTTTTGCTGTACCCAATGAATCCAACCCGTGACTGACTATTAGTAGTGTCAATTCGAATGGCTTATTTCCGGGACTGAAAATATCATTGGAGTGAACTTGCTTGAATTCTGGTATAACAACTTGTTGTGGTTTGTCATCTTGGACTGCAACTGGTGCAGCTGGCTCTTGTGCAGTGCACGAAGCCTCTGAATTGGCTGGAGTTGATTGGGGTGTTGACGGAATTGGTGTGGCACTCTCAGGCTCTGCATCTGCCTGCGCCATAGACGATTCCGCAGCGGCTGAAGGTGTGACACTATCCTGAGGATTCTCCTTAAAAAGCATTTTTCTGATAATTTAGTGCAGTGATTCTCACGTTCGGGTGCTCCATTACCCCTTTGGATGATCTAACAGGCCGCCGTTATCCTCCCTCCCCCCCCACCCCCTGAACTTACGTGTTGCTCATTACTGCAATCGATTATGATCGCATGAAAAGCTATTGTCTGTGACACGCTCAGTTCGAACTGTTTTGCATGATTCTCATTCTTTTCAGACGTGTTGTATTCGCTCTCATAGCTATCACATGCGAATGTCGTTCTATTGATTTGTTTTTATCATTCACTTCGTCTCAATTTCACTTCACAGTTCAAATCAACTTCTCATTCTNTATACTCTTTATTGGATGCGTTGACGAGTATTGACAACCGAAATCAACAATACAACAATAGAATTGAATTGCTGAACAACATTCGACAGCCAAATGATGAATTATAGAGTGCACTTGATAGAATGAGAATTTGACTTTAATTGTTGAGTGAAATGAATGAGAAATTAGCAGAAGAGAACACTTTTGCAGATAAAAGTTATAAGAGCGATTGAAACAGTAAGGAAAAGAGTGAAAACCCTGTTAAAACGAATGAAAACCTTGTCAGGCCTGGACGAGCTAATGATACACAGAAATAGGAGAATGAAGAATATTGCCATCAACTAATCGCATTTACATTTCCGAGTTAAAGAGCACCATCACAATGGCGTTCTATCATAACTTAAAATTGCACGAAATAATGATTTCTAGGCCTCCTCCATTACTTTTCGACACCTCCAAATTACCCAGGACGAGTAATTTCACTCCCTAAGGGAACCACTGATCTAGTGGCAAAATTCATGTGGTCCGATAAAATTAATTTCATATCTTATCGAATGTCAATCGTCTTTTCGTTTTGATCAGAGTCGTAGTTCCTGAACGGCTCTTATCGTTTCATTTTATCTTCACTGACCACTTCCGATCACTTCTGATCAAGACTATTAGTGCATGTCACTTCTCCTATTCCCAACTCGAAAAAAGTTTTAAAATTACCGGCCCACCACCAGCCGATGCCCTTTGCCATAATCGGCCACCCTTCATCACTTCGTTACACGAATGAATATTAAATTCTTTAGTTTCAATAAATATTAATGATTGCCATCAGAACAGTTTTATGATAAATTCAATAAATTATCATATGAATACAACGAATATTGTGAAATCCGGAGTTTATGAAAAATTAATAGTGAAAAAATTATGCAGAGTAGTTCAATCAGAACACTCATTAATAAATTGTTAACATTAGAGAACATACTTGCTTATTCCAGAGTCCCGAGAAGAGCATCCATTTGGATTAAAGATTATTTACGCTTCTGTGTATGAGGGAGTGAATGTCGTTGCATATTCGATCTTATCGGCTGAATAGTAAGCCAGCTTGTAAATTAATTCACCATGTTACCGAGTGATTTTGTTCGATTTTATGCATTTTGTTAATGAGAACACAAGTAACAATTTAAGTACTAGATATTTATTCAACAATTTTGCTTATTAATTATACAATAAATAGGAAAATCATTCAATATGCCTCGTATTTCCTTATCATAAGTTGAAAATCAGCAAGAAATACTTCTATTGCAGTGCACATAATCAATCGCAATCAACGAAAGACTTGTGGGAAGAGACATAATCTCTCCGAATTCGATTATTATTACAGACAATAACTTCAAATGAAAAGAAGCGTATTGCTAAAATTATTTATGCAACAAAAGCAACGAAATAATAAAACTGCTTCAACTAGATGAATTGTTCGATCCAATGCGTCGTTGAGATGTTTAACGACGAGTTCCATCCTCGAAGAAGACACCACCATCGATCGCGCAATACTTGGGACAGATGCCTTTCTCTCCCGATGGACCTGGAGGTCCAGGAGGTCCTGGTGGTCCCATGTCTCCTACAATTGAATTAGTTGATGAGTCGATCCGACTCGGGAAGATGTGCCATTAAGCTTTACTACTATCTGCATTTTTTGATGCAGCAATGAAATTTACCTGGTTCTCCTGGTGGTCCGGGAATAATTCCCTCATCCGGAGCATTTGGACCGGCTGGTCCTGGGAGTCCTGGTGGTCCCGGTGGTCCTGCTGGTCCGGGTGGTCCTGCTGGTCCTGGTTCTCCGGGCTGTCCGTTATAACCTGGGACGCCAGGCGGTCCATCTGGTCCAGGCTCACCAGGTGGTCCTTGTGGGCCAGCTGGACCTGGTGGACCCGGTGGGCATGGCTTACATGGTGGTGGTGTAATTGGCTCACATGGNCTCCAGGCTTTCCTGGTCGTCCTGGTCTTCCACGTGGTCCCTTTGGTCCTGGAGGACCCGGCAAGCAGCACTCTTCGCAACTGTTGTGCACTTGACGTCTTGTTCTGTTGACGCCTGGTGTGGGAATTTCCCTCAAGTGATCAACTCCAAATCGAATCGATTTAGCGGTTCCCTGAAAACAACGAATCCATTTCAGGCAAAGATTTGCAATACAGATTGTCGCAATAATTGAGGACAAATTGTTTTGAGAAAGAATCCAACTGAATTACCCTCCAAAGAAAACGCTCAATCTGAGCACAACAATTTCTCTTTCAACCGGTTAATATCTCATCTGATCAATGTGAAGGATCTCAATAATCTCAATCCATTAATCAACAATTCATTATTCAGCAATTTTTTTTGATGCATACTGTGCAAAAATATGCATCGATGTCGTCACAAAACAATGACACATCAGTAATTTGTGATCATCTGCGATCATTGTATCAATGAGAATCCAGCGAAATTTCTCATTGCCGACTTTCTGAATAAACATTCGTTTTGCAAGTTCAGATGCGATAGACCAAATCAATTTGGAGAGGAACGTTTAGATGGTCAAGCAAAAAAATCAAGCAAATTTAACCTTGCAATAGCTGATTTTGGATTGCATCTGAAATTGTACATGGTGTACGTAGTTGTAGACCATTGGCAGAGTGATACATACTGAAAGAACGGCAATGACCGAGAAGACAACTGCCGAATAGGCAACGAACTTGTAGGCCTTGAGGCGAATCGCTAAGTCCATTGTGTCACCGTTGGGTGATGTGCCGATCGGGTTGTTTCAACAGCCTTTTTATAGGTGTGCACAGCAATAAACCAGCCCTTCAGTGGCACTATGACATTTCTCGTTTGTACACTTCATTCATCGGTCAACATCCGCACTCTTATCATGTCTTATCTTGTTCCGTCATATGAGATTCTCAAAAAATAAAAAATAAACTGGGCGAATCACAAAGAAAAAATCTCGATAAGGATATTCGTTGAACAAGTCACAGATGCGCGTCGAAAACGTGCTGTCATTAACCGTTGTTCGAAATGTCCGATCTGCACCTATCAGTAGTTCCATCAAACAAATTGTTTCAGTTTTTCAAATCATTTGCACAAAACAAAAAAATTACATCCGACCTTATTTGTGTGAAAGGAACATGATTCATTATCATCTACCTGCAGCACCGATACTTCCTCTTCTTCTCAATATCACTTCTTCAGACACTAGGTCATATGTGATGGAAAAAAATGGGTAATTTTTTTGTTGATCGCAACTTCACACCATATAATTTTGTGATCATGTCCAGTTTTTCGACTGTTCCGGACTGATTCTGGAGAGAGAGGTCACTATTGAGCCAAAAGAATTCTCGAAAAACAGATTTGCGGAAATTCCTGAAATCTGGTCACTAAATAAGATGAAAAATGAATTGAATGTTGTTGATTTTGCTTTCAGTAGTCATGAAATACGTTAGTGAGGTTTAGGACTATAGGTTTTGCTTTTACTTAAAATTCAGTTTATATATCGTCCCAAAATCATGGATTTGGATGTTTTGATAAACGGATGAGTTCCTTGCCAAACACCAATTAACTGATAATTACATAAGAAACTATTTATTATCGACGAAATATTAAAACATCGCTTAAAAGCAAGTGAACGGATTTTGCGTGTTCGAATAACCGCACAGCAAAACGAGATAACGCTTCACGTGATCAATATAACATTAACATTCTCAGCAATTTGATCTGCTCACACCATCGGGTATATCACAACGAAACAAGTGAACACCATCAATTTATCATGCCGGACCAATTGAACATTTCATGATTTCTCATATCTCATTCGTTTCTTCGTATTATACAGCAAAATTAGGTGGATTATTTCAACTTTTTAAGAAACAACTTGTAAGGAAAAAAATTGTATGTTTGTTAGGATTTATTGCAGCTGAATCAAAACTGCTGAAGAGCAATCAGCCACATTTGCCAAGCGGATAATTACATGAGTGCTTATGTTGGATAAGAGGAATATCGGCCAGTAATCATTTTGTTATTCAGTACCTAATTGTGCTACGAATACTTAATTGTGCTTTTTGTGTGATTTTACAGTTTTTGCACTCGACGTGCATAGTTTGCGATATAGGACTCGCATGGTGCAGAGGACAATGAAGAGAAATGCGAAAACGACCCCAGACAATAAGGCGATAACATCCAAACAGTGATACTGAATGAAGCTGAGTCGAGTACCAAACGGTATCAAATTGGGCAATGTCTTAAATTCAGCCACAAATTCGGTCCATTTCACGAGCTGTTCTTCGGGCTTCGTCGGTTTAGCAAGAATCATCGCTTGTGTACGCTTGACATTGTTTGTGTATCTGCAACAAGAACGTTTTGCTGGCACTGGATTGGGAAGATTGATGTTTTGATCGATTGTGGGTCAATTGCAAAACTGGTTGAATTTGCATGAGTCACTTCGAACAGGTGATATTCTATTATCCTTATTCGGTTTTGTTTGTATAAAAGACTGAATGTTGTGACTGAAAATGAGGTAGGTAGTGATATTGTTCCACAAATCGGGCACACTGTTCATTCTGTTCTTTTCCGTCCTTCAGTTGTTCTGTTCCGTTCTGTTCTTCACTTGCTTTTTTGAAACTGTTCTATTTTATTTATTGAAAGAGAACAGAAACATCACTAAACTGGGATGAATCATTCGTAAGGCTCAGAATATTGAGTCACCACCACTGATAGATTGGGGTTGGCTTGGGTGATTGCTGCGACAATGGATTAGTGCTGATGCAAACGCAAATGATATCAGATTCTACGATCAGTTCATTTCATTTCATCACTTACTCATCATTGCTCAGTATTTGGTCGATTGCTTTGACAAGTGTCTCTGAACGAACATCTGACTTGCTCAATCTCACTCCTAAACGTAAACGTTCCACGGAGCGTGCATTCACGAACTGGTCGCCAAACAGTGGAATTGTTACGATTGGTACTGCTGAGTGAATCGCCTCTTGGACACTGTTGTAGCCACCATGACTTATAAAGAGCAGCGTTTTGTTATTCTCTGTAATCGAACGATGAAACAATGAAAATTGTATGCTTATGTGATGATAGGTTTGCATGTTTAACTTTCTTCTATGTTCTCGATTGTTCATATATGTATTTACCTGAAATCTATAGGCTAATCCAAATAAATGGATAATTGAACCGATTCCGACCGATAATTCCAATTGCAGATAGCTATCTTTGAAGAAAGATGGTCTTCAATAACGATCAGAAGCTAATTCTAGGGATTTTCAAGTGGAAACGATCAACTTAGATTTCAGATTATGGATTGAATGGACAACGATGTGACTTACGTAAGAGATCAACTTGAGGAATCCACTTGCTCAAATGAGCATTCTTCGGTATTTTGTCGTTCAAATCCTCTGCAGAGTATCTCATGATGAAGTCAATCTCAGGAAAATGCCTGAACGCACATTCCAAGTCATACGAATGATAAGAGTAGCACCAAATTTTCGGCAATTTACTACTGAGAAGTTCTTCTTGTTTTTGGTAACAGCCAGACTCGATTATTATTAACAACGCAACCGAATAGTGGCTTAAGATGAGGCGAATTCGCAATATTCACCCTTGAATGAGCTGTGAAATCTTTACAGTTTCATCAAGCTGTCACTTAATTTACGCTGAGCAGTTGCTTGATTGAAGATTCAAGATGATAATTGTGCTTCAGTAAGAAACTCACTTGAACACTTCGATCAACGCATTTTTCCACGATTCAGGCATCAAGTCCGCAGAGATAACAGAACCAAAACTCACAACGACAATCCGTTTGGCACGGTCAACAATCTGCTTGAATTCCTGAAATCAGAACTTTTAGAGCTTCTCGAGCGAACAGGCCCGCAAGTTTCGCTCGCTGTTCTGATCTGTCGATCGAAACGTTGCTGATGCACGACGACTAACTTTGTTCAGTGGTTTAACACTTCTGGATTTCATTCCTAATCCACCAATTGAAACAATTTTATGCAACGTCGGACGTGCAAGTGAGTAGAGCTCATCCGATGTGATCATCACCAGCGCGCATTCAGTTGCAAGTTCACTCAAATGTGGCATGTTCGCATCCAAATTCCTTCGCAAAATCTCTGTTTCTGGATCGATTGAATACCTGAATTGCATTTCACTTGAGAGCAGTCCATAGGTTAAGGGTGATGTGCTTTCTAAGTAATACGCTTTGAATGAGACTACAGTTCACTTGAGAAATCACCCATCTCTATAAATACAGTAGATTGCTGGAGATGATTTGAGCATTAAATTTTCTGAAGTTTACCTCTTCGACATCGCCACTGTGGTTGTTTTACCGATAAAATTGGCCACTCGCTCGCTGAATGTCATTTTATCACTGACGTCGCCGAACAGCCCTGAACATAATGAATATTGATATTATCATTGATTGATATTATCATTTATTGTTATCACCGAATGCACATTAGTCATTATCATCCTTTCGATGATCGATTCTTATGGTTGTTAAGCTGACGATTGCTACGTCGCCACAACAAGGATAGATTGCAAACTACTGTCGTTGTGATCGTTTGTTCGATTGCAACTTTCTTCACGACATAACCTCATGCAAGAATTGAGAATCGACTCAGATCACTGATTGCATTCAAATGATTCGATTTGAATCGACCGCAAATGATTTCAAATTCACCTGGGACATAACTTGGAGGACTGGGGACACCGATCAAATTCGCAATAATATCCAACATTTGTGCGCCATTCAGCCATATCCACGACGGTATCTTTGCGTGGTAGATCAGACCAATAGGACATAGATCGTAGTAATGTGTGAATGCAACGTCAAATTCGGCTTTTTTAAGTCTTGTGATGAATGCTTTGTCTTGCGAAATGACTGTAAACAATCACTCAGAGTACGACCGACTCCTTAAGGAGATGGAATCGTTTGCTGAGCAGTGGCGAAATACTTCTTTATTCAAGCAAAAGAATAACTCTCCAGTGATGAAGTTCGACCGAAGGTAATTCAAAGCAATTTTAAGAATTTCTGTTTTCAGTTTTCAGATTTCGGATTCCCTTTCAACTTTCTTATGAATTTCTTAAAGACTCACCGTCACAAGCGGTGACGAATGTTGTGAAGAATTGTTGATTTGAAGATACAGACCTCCCCGTAAGGAACGAACTATCCTTTAAAAAATTTTCACATTTTTCAAAACTTTTCAAACACAGCATGTCTTAATATTATATTCCTGCCTGATTGTGAAATAAATCTTTTATTCACTCAAACTGTAATCTCACTAACTTCAAAAGCTTCTTTCGAGTGCATTTTCTCCAATTCAGCATATTTGTTATCATCAGGATACGCTTTCACTCTCCATTCTGAAATTCTCAGTTAAGGTAGCACTGAAAGCTGCGATCGTTTAACATGAAATTTGATCCACTCTGATCGACAGAATGAAAACTTTCCTATGGATTCATGTGTCCTTCATTCTTGAGTGGAATAAGACCAGATTAAGTCGAATAATTCAAAGAAAATGCGAACAGTAACTTTAACTTAGATTATTTGTAAGTTTTGAAATCGAATTCACTAGTGCTTCGACTCAATTGAGCTCAAATGAGACACGATGCAATCATTCCGAACAAATTTTGACGCGTAATTCAAACAAATCAAATGCTTTTTGTTGGCATACAAGCAACGTTTCTGCTCCTCAAAAGAATCACAGCCATCAACAGCTTGTGAAATAGATCCGAGGCGACAGTAGCAATATGCTATGAGTGGAATGTGTGCTGAGCACAGATCAATGAGTATTGTGGTCAAAGAGTTGCGTTTGAGTGAACTGAGGAAATCAACAAGGAAGTTGATAATGAATTCACGTTCAACTTTCGGCGAAATTTTCACATTGGTTACTGTCTTTGCCAAAGTGTTCATACGAATCATTGTAACACTATGCCCGTTTGCAGCCAACGTCTCAGCCACTCTGGCATTAAGCATCACCTAAAAGTGAACCAATTGATCAATTTTCATTCAAGGAAATGAGGGCAATTGTGCAGTCTGGATGAAGGCTCACCTGACTTCCACATATCTCAGGAACAAACATAGCAATCTTGTATGCGTTGCTGATGTTGATCACCAGCACAACCGTGAGTATGATGTGCTTCATCATTTCAAATAACATTTGTAGAGATTGCGCTGAAAAAGTAATGATATCACTGAAAAGAATCTGATGATTGTTTAATAGTAGAACGTAAGCATGTAATTCACGGATAAAGAAAATGAATTTAAATTCGAGAATCATCTGCTAAACACATCAAAGACTGAAAAACTACATCAGATAGTGACAGCTAACAACAAATCAAAATTCTGTGGATAAGTACCATTGATCATACTGAAATTAAAAGCAAAATCGGATCAAAAGACCCACGGAATCAGCCCAAAGAAGTTGGGAAGTTGAGACTAGACGATTTAGAATATGGTCGATAAGATTTTGAATTTTGATGGAATTCTTGAGATGTAATAACCAAGTGAACAGAAAAGCGGAGAAGTATCAATGATGTAAAGGGAGTTGAACGAACTGCGGTCTAAAATACGGATCAACTGGTGGAAATGAAAGTGAACTGTTCAGATGGAGTTTACCGATGGAGGAGGAACGACAAACAACGATCAGCAATGATAACACCTCGAGTCATTATTTGTAATTGATAACAGCACTGATAAGGTGCTTTATCGTATCACCTCTGACATTTCTAGGCACCAAACACTTGAAGGTGAATGTACTGATACTGCGTTTGCTGATGTTGATAAGATAACGAGAGTGAGGCTGAACACCTCGGTAAAACAAGAAGTGCCCCGAAACATCGAACTGCTTTTCATCAATAACTATTTCGTATGAGCTGACAATGGAACAATTAAGCCACATTACTGAAGTGAAAAGTTTCTCATAGTAACATCTTTGAAAAGAGGGCAATATGTGTTCGAATCTGAAAATGTGCCATCTTTCTTGAATCGTTCGAATACAAAACAAAATATCGGCAATCGCTAGCACAATAGAATATCTGCGGTACTATTTTACTTTGATATTTTAATTGCNAGTGTCAAGAAATTGAGAGATATAGATATTCTGAAGTCAATTACATGCATTCGTCTATTGATATGTCATCGTTGTATTGTTGATGTGATGTGATTACTTTGCAATACTTTGAAACATCAGCCAATTATGAGCTGTGCACCTTTTGAATGAAACATATTTTTGGGTCTCGTCGATTGAGGTTCAGATTGTTCAGTTCTTTTGCATAACAACAAATCGCACATCTAAGAAAATCGCATTCTTTCTTTAAGGCAGCAAGCATTATCTTGAGTATAACATCAATTCCATCGCTCGCTTTTCGTTCATATGAGTTAGTGGCTTTCCTGGCTCTCTAACCGTATGTTGCAAACTATGTCAACTGTTTGAATAGAAGTTTTACGGGCATATGAGGAAGATAAAATGTTTTTGCCTTCACAGTAATAGTTTAATGAATCTGGAGGAAAGGGATTTGTTGAGTTATCGTGGAGAAACCTCATTCAATTGAGGGCGGCCTATTGTTACTATGGATATTCTAGTCAGTGATGCCGAGAAAATGTATATCATCAATGGTGCTGAAGAGGGTATGCGAGCAGATGGACGAGGGTGAGTTTTTGAAATTAATTCTTGGAACTTATATTTATTCTCGACTTTATTCCATCCGCATAATTTCGACCAGGATAACTTCACTCTTGGTTGGAGTATCAAAACCGAATTTTCAACTCTCACGGTTCAAAAATTCCAAGAAATCAAATAAATTCGGAGAAAAATATTTGCAGCGTATTCGACTATCGTCCGATAATCGTTGAAACTGGTGTGCTACCAACAACGAATGGCTCAGCACGAGTGCGCTTGGCATCAACCGATTTACTGATTGGTGTTAAAGCTGAACTGACCACTGTCACAAATTTGGAGGAGTACCGCAATCGCATAAATTTCTTCGTTGATTGCTCAGCAAATGCTACACCGCTGTTTGTTGGTTCGTTTTTGTTTGTTTGTTGTTTTGAAAAGAGTAAAATATAACTTCGTTCCAGTTATGGTTAGATTAATTTATGAATGTCTTTTGTACTGTAGAGAATTTGGAATAGTTTTGTGATGGTTGTAAATGAACTGATTGCTGAAGGTTTTCAGGTCGAGGTGGTGAGGATATCGGTGAAGAGGTTGCATCAGTTTTGGACGCAGCATATGACAATCCCTATGTGTTACCCGATCTAAAGAGGTTTGTTTTTCCTTTCTGCTTCAATTTATTATGCTTGTATTTGATCTCTGTTTGTCCCTAATGGCAGTGTAGAAATTGTCAGTTCAGTGAGGAACTGTTAAAATATTCGTAGTCAATAATTTAAATTGCAGTTTGATTCTGTCGCCAATGCATGTTTGGAAATTATTTGTGGATATTGTCATCTTGGAATGTGGTGGTAACCTGATTGATGCTGCTTCTATAGGGGTATGTCTTGGGAATAGTTTTTGAGGTTTTACTCCGTTTTAACTTGTGTATTCCTTTTACGAACGAGGCAGTTGTCCAGAAGACAGTGGAACCCATGAAACATTACTATGCTTTAGATTTCTGATAATGGTGAAGAGATATGTAAACACATAAGGCTCTACCATTATCTTTTCCAGGTGAAAGCTGCTTTGCAAAACACAGAAATCTGTAATGTGAGTGTACAACCAGGTGACCAAGGAAAGAGTATTGTGGAAGTTTTAGAAGATAATTCAGTCTGGAAATTTGATATCTCGAGGTACGTTTGTGTGACTGTTTAGTTGCAGTTTTGTAGTGCACACCTGAGAATATTATCACCATGAAGCGAATGATTACGATTCATTGCATTTTTCACAAATGTTCTCATCTTATAGGGCACCATTAATAGTAAGCGTTCATAAATTGGGTGAGGCAAATTTGGTGGACGCATCTTTAACCGAGGAAGCATGTTCACGTTGTACCCTCTCGGTTGCCGTTTCGCCGTCTGTATCCGATTCGCGTGAGGAAGACGTTAGTTTCATCCTGAATTTAAAATATTCGTTATAAGATTATCCAGTTCATACGATTATATTCGTCAATTGACAGTTGTTAGAGTCAGATTAATTCGGCATTCTTCCTTATTCAGTTTTTCGTTTCTTGGTTCTGCNTAATTATAGAAACCTAAAAGGTTTAGTCTAGCACATTGGTTAGGTATACGAAATCAATGAGAATCAAACGTTGTGGCGTCATTTTGATTGCGTTGTGGCACAAAGAAAAGCAATTCGATTCTATTGCCATTAAGGTATTTGCAGATGAGATGACTCGTCTTAGTGTACGTATGGTGCACAGTTTACAGAAGGCGTTGGATAGAAGATTAAAAGAAGAATCAGAAGACGTCAATGCTGATCCGTTGCTTACGTTTCTAATGTGAATTTGTCAACTTCGAGTTCATTTGAAATGCAATTGTGTGATCGATTGAATTGAGAAATTGATTCTCGTAAACAAAGTTTATTGTTTATTTTGCGCTATCAGAAGGATGCCCAAACATTCACCAAAACCTCATTTCTGCACTCCCACTCATACCTCATCCTTTCGGCAGTTCTCCCGCTTATAGCGATCGATCTGGCTAGCTGCAATTTATATTTTATGGCTCTCCATAAATTACAAAATATAGTTGATTATAAGCTGATTTAGCTGCCTTGATCTGGAGTTGAAATAGGAACTCACGGCCTCCATCAAGATGTTTTTCGTGAAAGTCGTTTGTTAAATGTTTGTTCATAGTTGTTTTCAATGTTATTATTGTTGTTATTATTATTGTTGTTGTTGTTTCATATTGATGATAGTTTCGTCAATGGAGTAAAGACATAAAAGGAGTATGAAAAGTTGAGTTTCACGAGTTTCAACACACATTAAAATCACATTCCAGCCTGTGCCATCATGCCACTATTAACTAAAGGTAACCAGCTTACAGTGTATTTGTAAAGGTTATGTACTGTCGATTCAATCTTCATTCACAAAATTACCTCAAACTTCGGTAATTAAACCACATAGAGCAGCAAGCATTACGAAAGAAATTATTATGCTAACAGTAAATCAATGAAAAATAAGAAGTTATCATAAATTCCTCATTCCAACTCCACTTATTCATGGTAGAACTTCCCTGTGTACTGATTTATTTCTAATCATCAGCTGTACCGGCTTATTACTCTTAATTCTTTGAAGCTCGGAATGCCAATCACTTTTATCTTATCAAACTATCCCTCTGATCATTTTCTAACTGATGTTCTGAGCGATAGGTT